CGAGGACACTCATAAAGCGATGGTCCAAACTCCAATACTAACGCACAAGTAAAAGCAACCCAAGAGTAAAATGGACCATGATGGGTAATCACCTGATACTATGGTACCGCCTCTTTTATATAAGTGGATAGATGTAATGCACAATTGTTGACCATCATTTGTGTTGTAATAAGTGAAAAATTATTCTACCTTGAATATCCATTGTAATACCTTTGAACCATTAAAATTCGTTGTAATAAAGTTGACATTACGCACTTGAAATGGTTGATGAGCAGAGTTGCTCTATTTGAGCAAGACATCTATTGCAAACTCCAATGTTTTAAAACAATTCTTAATTTTCTTGTGTCATACTTTTGTGAGATCCAAAATATGTTTCACGTAAGCTGCAAGTTCTTTTAGGTACCTATTCTCTACCCTAGTAACGAAAGCACCAATGCAATAAGGAACAACACAATCTAACAAAATAATAATGTAATAAATCTTGGTATTATATTTTGTGTGGTTACTGAATTTCTTAAAATAAAATAAAATTATTCATGATAATAAAAATACCAAAAGTTAAAGAAAAAGAAAATATGACCATTTAAGACAAAAAAAAACAAACATAAGGAGGAAATTTTAGAGAAGGGAATTTAACATCATTTCCTCTTTCCTTATTTTTATCATTGAAAAAGGTTATATACTAAACTTTTCACCAATCAAAATCTTTAAACATAGAATTAGTTATGGTGATACTTCTCCTATTTTCCTGATTGTAAGGTTCAGCGTTGATTTGTTTTCTCTATTGACTTTTTTACCTCATTATTTCAACATTTTTCACCTTTGACCTTTCTTCATTTGTTATATAATCTTGAGAAGAATATCTATTCTTGCAAGAAAAAATGCAATATACATAAGAGTGTAGTTAGAGAGAGTTGTGTGATAAGTAAGTAATTAAGATTTAGAGATATGAAAAATGAAATAAGCTAATAAATGTGTAGGGTGGAATAAATGAATGATTAGTATAGAGTTAAGAAAAAAAAAATCCTACACTCAACCTTGTTCTATTTTAATTTGTGAAACATTAAATTAAAATGAAGATTTGAAGTCTGTGCTTAGGCAAACTTGATGGGAAGTGGATGGTTAAAAATGCTTATAATAGTGGACTGAATTAATCATTGACGAAGTGAAAACAAAGACGTGCATGCGCAACAACCATAGCCACAGGCACAGTGCTTCAGAAGATGCAAAAACTCAAGTCTTATTACGATTACTTCTCTATATTCAATTCATTGAATCTAGACATACTCATCTTCGTGTTTTTTTTTTTTTATCTCTAAAGTAGGTAAAATATTTAAGTTAAAAGTTAATGTTTCACTTGGTAAAGAAAAAGAAAAAGAAAATAAATATGAGAAGATATAGGCAATAAATAAGTAGAAGCAGAGATTATTTGGTTAAGAAAAAGTAAAAAAAAAAAATGAAAATAGTATTTATTTGAAAAAAATTTCTTGATTGAATAATAAATAGCTAAAGAAGAAAAATATTAATTAATAGAATTTGTTTTCCTCTCTTAACTTTCACCAACCAACAACTATGGACGGATTGAAGAAACCTAGGAATACTTAAAAAAATAATTAATTAATTTACGGATAAACTAAAATAAAAAAATTATACAAGTAATATAATTTTTTTTTAAATAATTATATAATAATATATTGATTATATATCAGAAATTAATTACATGTCTAATTGATATAAAATTTTTAGGATTATGAAAAATGAATATTCCAAAATAAAACGGATATACATTTATAAAATTATTTTTTTAACATGTTTTTATAACATTTTTTTCAAGATATTTTTTAATACATTATTTATCGTTGATTAAAATTTATTAAATATAAAAAATCATGAATGATATCATTAAATAAATTATCAAATCCACAAAGTTTTATAATTTTAAATCAATTTCAACCAATCACGAACAATATATTATTAACTCTTATTTTTATAATAAATAATAAATAAATATAAAAAGATAAAATTGTGAGAAGATAAAATTATAAATATATTTAATTATTATTAAATTTGGGATTTCAAAACTTTGATGATAAGGTTTAATTTTATTAATTCTACCATATAACTTGACATGACATATTTATAAATATTTAATAAAAAATAATAAAAAATTGCGTGATTGTTTCGTAGTTATACTTTCATTTCTCTCCTTTTCATTAATAAATATCTAATTATTTTGTATTTCAATTATTTGCATGGATGAAAGTTAAGTGCAAGTTATAAAAAATGGATGATAGTCATTGTCCATAATTAATCAACGTTTAAGCAATACATTGACTTTAGTTTTTTTATTTAAAGATGAAAAATTAATAATAAAAATCGCACAAACATTATGATAGCTTAGCTTGCACAGTAATGAAACAATAAAATAAATCTGCATGTTGGAAATAATAAAATAAGTTTTTCTTCACATTTTTGCTTAAACATCAACATATGACAGTATAATAATAATTCAGTTGAAGGCATTTTTTAACTTAAAATTCTTTCTAATTTCTTTTCTTAAAAGAAAAATGAACCGTAATATTTGAGTAAAGGAGTTAGATGATTAGATATTGTAAGATGTACTAGTATCAACACACGAACACAAACATGAATATAATTATACCATTCAAATCAACTTTTGATTTTACTTAGATTTTAGTTATTTTTTTAATATTTTTAATAACAAAAAGAAAACTCATTAAAAATTTTAAATAAATATATAATTTTAAAAGCATTCCTTCAAATAAAAATAAAAATGATAAAAGAGATTATATCTTACTGATCGATCTATTAGGCCATTAACCTATTAAACTCAAACTTAAAGAACGAGTTGATAATTTTAAATGTCAACTCATTTTTATTCTTTTTATTTAGTTTATTAACTTAGTGGACTAAAAACATAATAGAAAATAATAAAAATATTTATATATTAAAATTATAATAAAAATTATTATAGTTAAAAATAATATATTTTTATATTGTGCTATTAAATATATAAATATATTATAATTTAAATTATAAATATTAACAAATTAAACTTAAATTATTAATTATAATTAAATATTTAAATATATAAATATAATAATTTTTTAATCTATTTAATAAAAATATTAATTAATAAACAAAAACTTAAAATTAGTAATATAATTAAAGGTGTATTTTTAGAAAAAATATATATAAAAAATATAATAATAGATTAATTCTTCAGTCAATTTATTTGTTATAAAAGAAACAAATTAATCTATCTTATCTTATTTTTTATGGAGTAAAAGTGAATTAGACTAAAACAAAATAAATGGACCTATTTTATTATTTTTATTTTTTTAATAATATAGCATGTAATAAATAAATAATATATTATAATGTGATTAAAATAATTTTATTTAATTAATATATGATAAATTAATTATATATTCCTATTCAAAAGTACAAGACCTACAGAATCTCCCCTCCAAATCTATAATAAAGTCAACCGTTTCTGAAGGTCAAAATGAGACAGCAAGTAGGCATTCTTTGTAAGAGTGTTGTGGTGTGCAGCAATCTCATCATCATAAATTAACAGTCAACGCCTACATTCCATTCAATTTTTCATGAACTTGGACACATTATAGTCCCCATTCATACAAACCCAACCCTATTCCTATTGTAAAACACAACATGTTTTTGTTTTTTACTATTTTTCTATCAACTCTCTAAATTTATAACAACTTTTAATTTTATTTTATTTTATTTTTCCTCCTATCATCAATATTTTCTAATTTATCAGCTTCTCTTAAAAAAAAAAAAAAAATTCTGTTGTCGTACCAAATATTCAGTGGATTTTATACTGCTTTTAAGAGTGTACAAGTTTCAATATCTGGCATGTGATATTCAACTACATTCTTTGTCATGGTTTATTCAAAGATCATTGTGAAATAACTTAATGTCAGAAATATACATTAGTTGCTGCTTTTTAAAATATTAGAAGTGTAATAAAAGAAAATCTTTTTTTTATTGAAAAATTATTTTTTTATCTTTGCAAAGTGACAGGTGTTTGGTGTAAGCTTATTGTTACTTCGTAAGCATTAAAATAATATTAAAAAATGTTTAAAGTAACAAAATGTAAACAATAATAATTTGATATTCCTTGTGTCCCTTTAAACCCAGAGAGGTTGATACTCATGATGCATGCCAACAAGTCACTTAGAAAATTAACAAAAGTGAAAACTAATAGAAAAGTTACCATATAAATAGGCTAATTACATAAATTATAAATAAAAGTAGTTATTTTTAGTCTTTAACAATATAAAAATCATGGCTTTCTTCTAATGAAAATAATTAGATTTATATGTAGTTAGTAATATGATGGAAAGCCAAGTGAAACTCTTCTTTGTTGTTTGTTTAAGTCTTTTTCTTACACATTCGAGAAGAAAAGGAACACACTCCCACCCATTGTTTAAAGTAATTGATGATCACAGTCAATGGCAATAATTGAGCTTATCCAGGTGTCATTTTTGTCAAAAATAAAAACTTGAATTGGTTTTGAAGTGTATTATATCATAACCCCTTTTTTATGTTCTCATTCAACCTTTTCGCCTCCCACTCAAACAATATAAAAAGTTTGTTTACGAAATCTCAAGTACCAAAATTGGCGTGGTTGACTTGCATTACAAATATAAATAAATTTTGTTTAGTTGAAGTTGAGCCTCACACATTACATCAGTTACAGTTGAGATGCTCATCACTTCTCATATCTCATTCATTCTATATAAGCATTAGCCTCATCATAGAACCAACAAGTTCGTGGGGGTTATCAGAGCTTGTAACATCATTTGGTACTTTCACTGTGTCTTTTGGTTTCAATTCTGTGCATCAAAGAAACTTCACATCACAAAATGTGACCATGCAGAAATGATATACTATATATAACAGACACAAGAACATGACTAAAGTGTTGTGTGCTTTGCAGGTGAGACATTAAAATGAGTCAGCGTGTGAGTGACGAGGCTGTGACAAAGGCCATGGGGGAAATAACAAGTGGGGCTTCTTCACGTAGGCATGGAGATACTTTGCCACACATTCACAAGGTCGGATCTCCTCCTAAGCAGACACTTCTCCAAGAGATCAAATATTCTGTGGCGGAGACTTTCTTCCCAGACAGACCATTTGACAAATATAAAGACCAAACCTGGGGTAGAATGTTTCTGTTAGGCCTGCAATCTCTCTTCCCTATTCTCGAATGGGGGAGACATTACGATCTTAAAAAATTCAGAGGTGATTTAATTTCTGGACTCACCATTGCAAGTCTCTGTATCCCTCAGGTAAGGGTCACATCTCAATTATTTGTTACAAACTCCAAAGCTTTCACGTCATACAAAGGTTTGGAATCTGTTTCTGGATGATAACTTTGTAACATATGTGAATGCATGGCAGGACATTGGATACTCTAAGCTTGCGAACTTGGATCCCCAATATGCACTATGTGAGAATCTTGATTTATTTTAAGAAAAATATTGGACATCGTCAGTTTTATGACTTGACTTTCCTTCACTATGTGCAGACGCAAGTTTTGTGGCTCCTCTTGTGTATGCTGTCATGGGAAGCTCAAGAGATATTGCCATTGGACCCGTAGCTGTGGTGTCCCTCTTGCTTGGGACTATGCTAACCGATGAGATCAGTAACTTCAAAAGTCATGAATACCTGCGTCTTACATTTACTGCCACCTTCTTCGCCGGTGTCACTCAAATGGCACTTGGTGTTCTCAGGTACATATAATGATTCTCTTTCATTCATTGTTCTTTCTTGCTTTGCCTAAATACTTCTTGTCTCGTGTTACAATCTAAACGTGAATTTTGCAGGCTTGGTTTCTTGATTGACTTTTTGTCTCATGCTGCCATTGTGGGATTCATGGCTGGAGCAGCCATTACTATTGGACTGCAACAGCTTAAGGGTCTACTTGGCATACAAAACTTCACTAAGAAAACTGATATTGTTTCTGTCATGCGCTCGGTGTTCAAATCAGCACACCATGGGGTAAGGTGTCGTTGTGCTTGGAAATTCAATTTAAAATGAGGCTCCTATTTAATTTGCTTTGAATCTTTGCTTGCAGTGGAATTGGGAGACAATAGTCATTGGATTAGCATTCTTGGTTTTCCTTCTTATAACCAAGTACATTGTAAGGATGCCAACAACATCTTTCCTTCTTTTCTTCCCCTTTTCCTTGGAACTTTCACCATCATAACTTAACTTTTCTGTTGTAATGGACAGGCTAAAAGGAATAAGAAACTCTTCTGGGTGGCTGCAATTTCTCCTATGATATCGGTTATACTGTCTACCTTTTTTGTCTACATTACCAGGGCAGACAAGAAAGGAGTGGCAATTGTAAGTAGCATAACATTGATTGACTAGTTGAAACAAAATTAAGCACTGTGAAACTGAAAGTATGTTATTTCAGGTGCATCATGTTCAAAAGGGTGTGAATCCATCATCTGCTGGCGAGATTTATTTCAGTGGAAAATACCTAGGCCCCGGTATTCGGATTGGTGTGATAGCTGGTCTGGTAGCTCTCACGGTAAGCAACTTTCTGTTACTTACGTTAGGCGAGCCAAATTCCCTTTTCTTTTATTTTCATTCTCTTACAGTTAAATTCCTCAAATTTTAGGAAGCTGTAGCAATTGGGAGAACATTTGCTGCCATGAAAGACTATCCATTGGATGGTAACAAAGAAATGATGGCAATGGGAGCAATGAACATTGTTGGTTCTCTAACATCTGCTTACGTGGCTACAGGTACATCTATTAAGAGCAGGTTTAAGCCTTTATACAAATTTCTTCTGCCTAAAACTGTCATATTAATGAGTTGTTTCTGATCTTTCTGTAGGCTCATTTTCTCGGTCAGCAGTAAACTACATGGCTGGTTGTAAAACTGCTGTATCGAACATCGTTATGTCCACTGTTGTGTTATTGACCCTGCTACTTATTACGCCACTATTTAAGTACACTCCAAATGCAGTGATTGCTTCTATTATAATAGCTGCCGTGGCTGGCCTTGTGGACATTGAAGCTATTATTCTTTTATGGAAGATTGACAAGTTCGACTTTGTTGCTTGCTTGGGAGCCTTTTTTGGTGTGATCTTCAAAAGTGTTGAGATTGGCCTTCTAATTGCGGTAATAAGAAAATCAAGACAAAATTCAGAAAGGGGTTTCTGTCATTCAGAACATCAAGACAATATTATATTTACTCAACCTTCTCTATGCAGGTGGCTATATCTTTTGCTAAAATCCTTTTACAAGTGACAAGGCCAAGGACTACAGTACTAGGGAAGCTTCCAGGAACTACTATTTATAGGAACGTCCAACAATACCCCAAAGCAACCCAAATTGATGGCATGCTGATTATCAGGGTTGACTCTGCAATCTACTTCTCAAATTCTAACTATATTAAGGAGAGGTAAATGACTGTTTCTATTCCTCATAACTATGTGTGTGCTTGTAGAATTGGACACTCACCAAATTTGAAGTGGTACCTGCAAGGGGGTATTATGATAATTTAGGAACCTTGAACCGTATGTTGAAACTTGGAAACAATTATCACTATGAAGTGTGAGGTGGGAACCTTTTGGAATACAGTGTTTTCACACTGAGGGTCAGTTTGGAATATGGTTAAAAATTGAAGTTAAAGATTTGTGGATAAGTTTTATTGGTACCATCACCCTTTATGGTCTAGGTTAAGAAAATCTAGATATTGGTTTACTGATGAAATTTAGGCTGACGAATAATTCCTTCACAATTAATTTCCAGAATTTTGAGATGGCTGACTGATGAAGAAGCCCAGAGGACAGCAAATAGATTGTCCAGAATAGAGTATCTCACTGTTGAGATGTCACGTAAGCGTTCCTAAGAAATCCTTCTATCCTGTTTTTCAAGATTAATTTTGATGAATGAATTTATTCATCCAACCATGTTCTTCTTCCAGCTGTTACTGATATTGACACAAGTGGCATCCATGCTTTTGAAGAGTTATACAAGAGCCTTCAGAAAAGAAAAGTCCAGGTAATGAATAAATAACATATAATCATAGATTTTAATTTTTTTCTACATCATTAGTCATTACTAATTTCTGTAGAAATTCTTCTGAAATAGTCCCCAGGTACAGTTTATTGATTAATCAATGATGATATTGTTGTTGTTATTATTATTATTATTATATTATCGTAGAAAACAGCTTACTGAATAATTGTGAAGACGTGTTAATCTCTATTGTGTTTTCACAGCTTATCTTGGCAAACCCAGGGCCAATTGTAATAGAGAAGCTCCATGCATCACAGTTAACAGGAATCATTGGCGAAAATAACATATTTCTAACAGTGGCTGATGCTGTTTCAACTTTTACTCCAAAGGGTGAAGGAGTAGTATGAAGAAATTAAACAACTACTTCAATTCAACCGTTGAAGGCCAAAGGGTGGGAATTTCTTGCTCAAGGAGCTGATCAGAAAGTTTATGAACAGAGTGTTATGCAGATTTGTTGTCATCGATAATTTTGCTTAGTTATCTTCGATTAATATGTAGTCCCAGATGATGTACAGAAAAAAAAAAAAAAAGTGTCATGGTTAAATTTTACTGCACCTACTGTTTATATCTTACTTTGAGGAAGTAATTATTTTTCTTTATGATATGCAACAAGTAGATACTCTGGTTGCAGAAGAAAGAGAATTAACTTCATGATTTGATGGATTGAATTAATTATAATGAATTTCTTCATGGATTGAATGTCAGTAATAAAAAATGTTTCATAGCAAGAGTTTGCAATACCTGATGACAACCCATATATACTTCAATCACCGTCAACGCATATTTTTCTTAAAATATGTTGCATCAGAATCTTCATGCATAACCTCTCAAACATAAAATAGAAAAACGGTGACGTTTTGTGATTGGCTTTTGGGATGCCTAAATGGTTTTTCCTTTTAAAGACATTTTTCTTCAGAAGATTCATGGCTTCACTGCGACAGCAGCATGTTACGTCAACCACAAAACCTGCTTGCCTTTTTTAGGTTGTTACCAAATAATATAAAGTATACAAGATCTATTATTAGGTGAAATGAAATAAGAGAAGAGTAATATAAAAGACATAATTTATTATATGTTTAGATTTAACAATGTTACGAAAATCCTTGTTAAGGTAAATTTTTAATGAATAGGAATGGTCTATTTTAGAGTCTATTCTAGTTTTATTTTTAAAAGATATTTTTATCTATTAAAAAAAAAAATATATATATATATATATATAAATTATTTTTAATTTTTATTTTAATTAATACAAATTCATGAATATTATATTTTATAAATTTAAATTATTTATTTATTAGAAACTTTAGATGTCTTATTCTTTAAGAGAATGTTATGAGTTGACGTGCAAAACTTAAAATAAAAAATAAAAAACTTATTTATTAAGATATTACTTATCGGATTAAAATTTATAATATGATACGTATATTAATAAAGTAATAAATAAAGGGTTACACATTAACCAAATGTTTTGTTAACACTCTCATATCACGATTATTAAATTTATAGATAAAATCTATAAAAAAAAATTATATGATATGTCGATTTTTCTAATCAATTAACATGAAAGGATTATTTTTGGTATATATATATAAATGTAGATATATGTTAGATGAGTTATAGAATGTAAAACTATTGTTATGTTCTTTTATATTCACTTTCTTCAATCAAAATGATTTATTTTGTCACCTTCAATAAAAATATATTATAAATGTATTAAATGTATTTATTTTTCTGTGAATATATATTAATAATTAAAAAAAATTACATCTCCAATAAATATCCATGAATAATGAATACAAACATATAACAATGATATCAATGCGCATATTATTAGTTATTTTTACTAGGATATTGAAAATGAAGACAAAGTAAAATTGTTAAGTTTTTAAAATCTTATGATTTTTAGTCTAATTTATTCAGATAAAATTTATTAAGATTAATTACTATTTGTATTGTATAATTTTAGTTAAATATATATTTTAGATTTATAATTTTATTTGAATTTGTGGATAAATTAGAACAAAAAAGATATGTGACATTTTTAAATAAAGTATTTGATAGATAACGAAGTGAATTTTTTCTTACATTATTGAAAATAAATTTCCCTCCTTTTTTTTTTTCTCTACCAAACAAACTTTTAGAAAAGAATTTCAGATTTATAATTTAAAGTTTTTTTCTTAAAGTTAGGTATTCTTACATATTCTAAGATGCATGATTGAAAAGACAGAAATAAATATGAATATAATCAGACATAATGACAGATGAATCTGCAACCACTGTTTCTCTAACTTTCCCATTTCAGAGTTTGAGATTCTGGTACCTAAATTTTAATGACTATTTCAAATTCTATTGTAGCATGCATGTATCTCCCCCTCCAAAGCTACACCGGTGACCCAACTCTGTTTAGAGTCAACGCATCCTCAGGTTATTTTCTGTACCATAATCAGAAAGCAAGTACCTGCAATGCAATCCCATGAGTAAAATCAAGTTTTCTTTTTGATGAAAAATCATTTGATCTAGTTTCCTGTAGCACTGCCAAGGTTTATATGTAGTTAATAATATGAAGGAAAGCCAAGAGAAACTCTTCTTTGTTCTTTGTTTCAGTCATTTTCTTACACATTCCTTTGTGACCTGTTGTTACATTCAATGAATGATGAATAGACAACAAATAGCATTCGAGAAGAAACGAACACACTCCTACCATTGTTTAATTTATTGATGATTAATGGCAATATTTAAGCTTATCTAGGTATCATTTGTCAAAAATACAAACTTGAATTCATATGAGAATTAGCTTTGAAGTGTTCTATATCATAACCCCTTTTTTATGTTCTCATTCAACCTCTTCGCCCTCCCTCTCAAACAATATAGAAAGTTTGTCTACGAAATCTTAAGTACCAAATTGGTGTGGTTGACTTGCATCAAGAAATAGAAATACGTTTTGTTTAATTGAATGCTGAGCCTCATACATTACATCATTTGGTACTTTCACTGTGTCTTTTGGTTTCAATTCTGTACATGTAAACCTCACGTCACAAAATGTGACCATGCAGAAATGCTCTACTGTATAACAGACACAAGAACATAACTAAAGTACTGTGCTTTGCAGGTGAGACATTAAATGAGTGAGCGTGTGAGTGACGAGGCTGTGACAAAGGCCATGGGGGAAATATCAAGCAGGGCTTCTTCACGTAGGCATGGAGATACTTCGCCATACATTCACAAGGTGGAATCTCCTCCTAAGCAAACACTTCTCCAGGAGATTAAATATTCTGTGGTGGAGACTTTCTTCCCAGACAAACCATTAGACAAATTTAAAGACAAAAGTTGGTGTAGAATGTTTCTATTAGGCCTGCAGTCTCTCTTCCCTATTTTTGAATGGGGGAGATATTACAATCTTAAAAAGTTCAAAGGTGATTTCATTTCTGGACTCACTATTGCAAGTCTATGTATACCTCAGGTAACTGTCCTCAATTATTTGATACAAACTCGAAGCTGTCACGTCATAAAACGGTGTGCCACACAAATTAAACTTACCGGAGATTACTTTTTAGTTAATAAAAGCACTTCTAAGATACTAAAGTGAAACTTTTTTTAGACTTGAAAATTAAATAGAAAAAAAAAAAGACGAAATATCAAAATTATATTTTAGTCAAAATATTGATGTATGGAAATGACAAAAACAAACTTTTTCACTTCTTCTTATCAGATGAAATCCATGTGGATCACACTAAATATATAGATTTTATTTCTCATTTGGGGTCTCATCTAGAAAGACCTATATGAATTTCAACGAATAAAAAGGAAAAGTTTTGGAAAGAAAATGTTAAGTGTGTTTATATTGCTGACCGATTGTCATGTATTTTGTGATGTTATCTTCTGTAACATATGACTGCATGCATGGCAGGACATTGCATACGCAAAACTAGCGAATTTGGATCCCCAATATGCACTTTGTGAGCCTCTTGATTTTGTTTTAAGAATGCAACTTGGACATCTTAGTTTTTCAGTTTCATGACTTGGCTTTCTTTCACTGTGCAGATACCAGTTTCGTGACCCCTCTTGTGTATGCTTTTATGGGAAGCTCAAGAGATATTGCCGTTGGACCCGTAGCAGTAATTTCCCTCATGCTTGGGACTATGCTATCCGATGAGATCAGTGACTTCAAAAGTCATGAATACCTGCGTCTTGCATTTACTGCCACCTTCTTCGCAGGAGTCACTCAAATGGCACTTGGTGTTCTCAGGTATATATAGTAAATTATTCTTTCATTCGTTGTTCTTTCTTGCTTTGCCTAAGTTCTTCCTGTCTTGTGTTAACTTACGGTCTAAACGTGAACCTTTAGGCTTGGTTTCTTGATTGACTTTCTGTCTCATGCTGCCATCGTGGGATTCATGACTGGATCTGCCATTACTATTGCACTGCAACAGCTTAAGGGTTTGCTTGGCATAAAAAACTTCACTAAGAAAACTGATATTGTTTCTGTCATGCGCTCGGTTTTCAGTTCAGTGCACCATGGGGTAATGTCTCATTTTCCCTAGAAATTCATTTAAAAAGGGAGCTTGTGTTCATTTGCTTCTAATATTTGCTTGCAGTGGAATTGGGAGACAATAGTCATCGGATTAGCATTCTTGGTTTTCCTTCTTGTAGCCAAGCATATTGTAAGAATGTCAAGAACAAACTTTCCTTCTTTTCTTCCCCTTTCCATTGAAACTTCTTTATCGTAACGTTTCTCTTGTAACGAACAGGCTAAAAAGAATAAGAAACTCTTTTGGGTGGCTGCAACTTCTCCGATGATTTCTGTCATAGTGTCTACCGTTTTGGTCTACATAACCAGAGCAGACAAGAAAGGCGTGGCAATTGTAAGTAACGTCAAATTGATGGAATAGTTGAAACAAAACTAAGCACAGTGAAACTGAAAGTATGTTATTTCAGCTGAAACATGTTAAGAAGGGTCTGAATTCATCATCTGCTGGTGAGATTTTTTTCAGTGGAAAATATCTGGGCTCTGGTATTCGGGTTGGTGTGGTGGCTGGCATGGTAGCACTCACGGTAAATAAATTTCAATTATGATTTCTCCTTCCTTTTCTTAGATCCAATTTCACGTTAAGTAATCGTTTGATTTTCTTGAGATTACTCTTTTCCTCCTTAACCACATTAGCGGAGAAAATTTCATTTTTCTTATAGATAAATTCGTTAAATGTTAGGAAGCTGTATCAATTGGGAGAACATTTGCTGCCATGAAAGACTATTCACTGGATGGCAACCAAGAAATGATGGCAATGGGAGCAATGAACATTATTGGTTCTTTAGCATCTTGTTATGTGTCTACAGGTACAACTATTCAATTATGTTTTAGCCTCTCTTCATACAAATTTCTTCAACCTAGCTATCACCGTCACAACAACAAGAGTTGTTTCTGATGTAGGCGGTTTTTCTCGCACGGCAGTGAACAACATGGCCGGTTGTAAAACTGCTGTATCAAACATCGTTATGTCCATTGTTGTGTTATTGACTCTGCTACTCATTACGCCACTATTTAAGTACACTCCAAATGCGGTGCTTGCTTCTATTATAATAGCTGCCGTGCTTGGCCTTGTGAACATTGAAGCTATTATGCATTTATGGAAGATTGACAAGTTCGACTTTGTTGCTTGCATGGGAGCCCTCTTTGGTGTGGTCTTCATAAATGTTGAGATTGGCCTTCTAATTGCGGTAATAAGAAAATCAAGACAAAATTCAGAAAGGAGTTTATGTCATTTTTTGCATATTCAATTTGGCCAAACCACAGTATTTGATACTTAGTTATTTACTTACCCTTATTTATGCAGGTGGCTATATCTTTTGCCAAAATCCTTTTACAAGTGACAAGGCCAAGGACTGCAGTACTAGGGAAGCTTCCAGGAACTACAGTTTATAGGAACATACAACAATACCCCAAAGCAACCCAAATTAATGGCATGTTCATTGTCAGGGTTGACTCTGCAATCTACTTCTCAAACTCCAACTACGTTAAGGAGAGGTAATAAACTGTTATTAATTATTCATATGTGTGTGTGCTTGTAGAATTGTACACCCGCATAATTTAAAATGGTAAGATAACTGCAAGTAGCTATTATGGCAACTTAAGAAACTTGAACCGTCTTTTGAAAAAGTTGGAAACTAATATCACTATGAAGTTTGAGGTGGGAACCTCTGGGAATACAGTGTTTTCACCCCTTCGGGTCAGTTAGGAATGGGGTTAAAAATGAAGGCAAAAGATTTATGATAGCTTTTATTGGTACCGTGACCCTTGAGGTATAGTACATTTTATAGACACTGCCGGGTCAAGGTTAAGAAAATCTACATATTGGATGAAATTTATCCTGGTGAATAAATTCATAACAAATTGCAGAATTTTGAGATTGCTGACTGATGAAGAAGCCCAAAGGACAGCAAATGGATTGTCCAGAATAGAGTATCTCACTGTTGAGATGTCACGTAAGCGTTCCTAAGAAATCCTCTCATCCTGTTTTTCAAGATTAATTTTGATGAATGAATTTATTCACACAACCATGTTCTTCTTCCAGCTGTTACTGATATCGACACTAGTGGCATCCGGGCCTTTGAAGAGTTATACAAGATCCTTCAGAAAAGAAAAGTCCAGGTAATAAATAAATAACTGAATGATAATAGAAGTTAACTTTTCTACATCGTTTGTCATTTCTAATTTCTGTAGAATTTCTTTTGAAAAGGTCTCTAGCTATAGATTTTTAGTTTTGCCCTATGGTCTTCAAATTTGAAAAGAAAAATTGATACGGTGTTCCAAGGTCCATGTCCTATACTATATTTGCTTGACAATGATATAGTTTATTGATTAATTTTTCTTTGGTCACAGCAGAGAAAATTAATTGAGTTGCTTGCGTGCAAACAATATCATCAATAATAATAATAATATTATTATTATTACTATTACTATTATTTTTATATTGTAGTAGTAGAAAACAACTTGTACTAATTGTGAAGGACTTGTTAATCTCTTTTGTGTATTCACAGCTTATCTTGGCAAACCCAGGGCCAATTGTAATAGAGAAGCTCCATGCATCAAAGTTAACAGACATCATTGGAGAAAATAACATATTTCTAACAGTGGCTAATGCTGTTTCAACTTTTTCGCCAAAGGGTGAAGGAGTAGTGTGAATAAATCACATAACTACTTCAATTCAACCGTTGAAATCCAAACGGTGGGGATTTACTGTTCAAGGAGCTCATCTGAGCATTGTGTTACGCAGATTTGTTGTCATCCATAGTTCTGCTTGGTTATGTTGGATTAATCTATGTTTCATAGTCCAAGTTGATGTGATAAAACAAAAGGGAATGAAGAACGTGTTATCTGTTTATATATCTTACTTTGTGGAAGTAAATATACTCGTAATGATTTCCATGTGTTCAGTGGTTGCAGAAGAAGAAAGAAAATTGACTTCATGATTTGATGGTGGAGTTGATATAAATGAATTTCTTTATGATGGAAGTCACTAATAAAAATCTTTAGAGGTAGAGTTTGTTAACCTGACCGATGACCAGCGCATATCACAAGATTAACAACAATATATATACTTCAATGACCAACAAGAAATTATTGGAATATATAAATTTTTTAGAATATTATGATGGACTGGGTTGTATCAGAATGTGCATAAGTTCAAGTTGAAGGTGGTATTTTGAACTGTGGTGTGTGATTGGCTTAGCCCATATCTCATAAAGATGCACATGCGTTTGAATTCAGATGTAAAAATCTTAGCGGTGAATGTCTTTTAAAATCATAGTATATTATTTTCATCTTCACGAGTCTTCCTACCTACCTCACCTAACCCTTTCTTTAATAATATATTATGGAAGTACTGAGAAAAATAGAATTTTTACAGTGAAATTATTACATAGTATATCAACCACTACAGTTTAAGTATCTTCGTAATTTGTAGTATTGAAAAAACTCAACTACTTATTACGAGAATACAGATATTCGTGCAACTACAAACTCATGGTTTTTGAAGTGGTTTCTAATGTTTGATTTCAATTCATGTTTTGTGCTCTGACTCTACAGCCCCACGATCCCTCCTTCTGTGCCATACGTGTGTGAGACTTTCTCCTCAGCTCGGAAACTTGCTCCTGCCACCTCCATCTCCAACTCTCATCAGTCGCACTTTTCGTGGTTCTCAAACCCAACTCGTAGTCATAATCTGCTCGAAGCTGTGGGTTGGACAAGGTGGTGTAAGCTGCGTTGAGTTGCACAAACATCCTCGTCAACTCCTCTTTCTTGGAACCATCATGGCACACATCAGGGTGGTACTGCAGAGCCATTGATCTATACGCTTTCTTTATGTCATCTGTGGTTGCACTATTCGGACTCAGACTTAGTACCTTGTACAAGTTGTCCTCAACACATGGAAGCTGTTTTGTGGCTCTGCATGAAACAGAAAACTTGGTACGAGGAGGTTGTGTCTGGTGTTTTTTTGAGAGTGGAAGCATGTGAGTGCTGCTGCTAAGGTTTGAGGTAAAGCTAAGAACATCCATTGCTCTGAATCTAACTGATTGTAGTATTGTGGACTCTACTTTCCAGTATGTGCGGTATATTTATATGTGCCAAGAAAGAAAGAGCTTGGACAATTCTAGAACCGCTATTGAAATCTTACACTGATTAATATTATTTAAGGACAAAAAAAAAAACAAGGGATTTTCAACTAAGAAATGTATTATTTAATTATTCGTACACGTTTTCGCTTTTGTTATATCTAGAAATATGATTCATGATATATTTAATCTTCCACTGGCTCAATTTGGTGTCTTTGATTTAGAAAAATGTAAGTTGAATTAATGAAACAATTTGTTTATAATTTAAAAATTATTGACAGTAAATAATATTCATGTACTTTATGTAATTTTTATGTTTCTAAATTGTAATTTTCGCATAATTTATATATTTTTTTCTCTTAATTCACTAAATCATCTTTTAAAAACAAAATAAAAATAAACTATAATTTCAAAATAAACCATACCACAAATGTAAAAATTAACCGTATACTATACCGTTCTTATACCGAACAGTACGAAAAGTAGAAGAAATAAAAAGTCTGAAATGGAGGGAAGTAGGGACGTGTCCACGTCAAAAGAATGAATGTAAGATAGAAAATTAGATACATAGAAAAGCTGAGATTTTTAAACTTTATCTAAATTAAATAGAATTGTGTCGTAGTCGATTTCGGATACGCATCACACGTGTAATTGAGAAGCAATATGATATACCAAAACTTGGTTTCATTTTCAAGAATTGAAAAAACCATTGTATAAATAATTTGTATGTTTCGTTTTGAATAGTAATAATAACGTAAAATGTAATATAAAAATCCGTAATAGATGAATTTCTAAACACGCATTGAGGAATGGTCTTCTCTTCAGTCTTGTAAGTCGAATGTTCTGTTTTTGGTTACATCATTGCATCAAGAAAACGAGAAAGACAGAGAAAAAATTGCTCTCTTTAAACAACAAATCGTTGGTTAAAGCAACTCACTCATTCCTCGCGTCTTCCGTCAATTTTCAACAAGCAGTCACTCACGTTACTTTATTTATGTTACTCCCTCTCTCTCTCTCTGATTCTAGAACTTCTTTTTCGTTTTTCTATTTTTTTATATTTAATATTATATTTTAAAACATTACAACTTTATAAAATCAACAGTTAAACACATAAATATAAATATAAATATTAGATGATATCGTATATTAAAAATTAAGAATAAAAAAAAATATTTTTAACGGTTGGATTTGTAAGATTTATAACTGCACTTCATGCAATTTATTTTTGGAACTGCAGAGAATCTTACTGTTGAAGAAGCGCGTGAGAAAGTAAGATTGAAAGAAGGTTCTTCATGAATCCTCAACTGTTTTTAAATTATTATATTTTTTATAATCAACTTAATGAATGAAATTTTCGTCATTCTTCTACTAACTTCGGAGAATTCGAATTCACACTCACAAATAACTACTTTGTCAGAATTTTAAAAAATAGTTAATTTAGTTAGCGATGTTATTTTTATCCAAAATCATAGAAATTCATTTTATAAGAAAATATTTTCTTATAAAATGAGTTTATACATAGTTAACATTTTATATATCAAGTGGATTGATTTTATAAATTAATTTTGTGTGGTTGATTTAGCTTTAAATTTAATTTCCATGTTAGCATGGCCTATTTTAATTAAAATCAATTAAAATACTTCTCAAAATATGACTTAGTGTTTATCTCGTTTTAACTCTTGAATTTGATCAATTTAATTAATAATATTGAATGAATGCAAATTTCATCTTATGAAAAACTTAAGTCTAAACTATTTTTTTAAGATGTTATTAAAGCTTATCATATTCTTTCTAGTGTAATACTCCATTAAAGATGTTATTAAAATTAATAGAGTTTAAATTTAATAAATGAATCTATGATTACTTTAAAGAAATTTATAGATGATGAACATGTTAGGTAAACTGTAATTAATATGATCTTCATTCTAATGATCAAACATATATATATATATATATATATATATAATCTCTTACCTGAAATCATGTTATAAACTAAATGCGAAAGTGTACCTGAATTGGCCATAATGACTATATCCTTTGTAGAGCACTTTTGATTTGATCTTATGGCCTTCCACATGAAGAGCACCTGTATTTCCCTCTTGATTTTCTCTCTTGATGGGGATAGAAAAGAAAAGAACGGGACTGTAACTATGTTCTGTCTACGTGCTCTCAGAAGGGGACCATAACCCCTTAAAATAACCAAAATTAGGTTAATTACTTAAGTTTTAGTATTTTCAATTTGGCCCCTCATCAAATTAGAAATTACTTTATGGTCTCTACACAATTTTATTTTCATGACATATGCCTTTAGCCAAAACTTTAATTTATTCAGATCACTTTATTATTTGGCTTAATAAATAATGACCCTAACACATTTAAATATGTATCATATATATACATGACCCAAATTTTGCCAACAATCTCCCACTGGTCACAAATATATATGTCCTTACAACCTTACAAATGTGTTAGACTTTATTAGCTCAAAATTGTCATTATATTCCTTTAGCATATTCCAAAAGTCCTGTCCATTAATCATATCAGGATATAGAACCAAACCAGTTTTTCATTGCATCATCGCAACTAAAACCAACAATGATTATTCATCCTAACATAACCAAATGACATGGATTCATCATGAAATGTGTAGCATGAAAAATTACGTGAAAGTGATATGTACACGTCTATTTTCAACTGGTCCAAACTTTAACTTATCGAGATCGATATAATAACCTTAATGTACAAAGTGTAATGAATGAACAAAAACCGCATATCTATAGATAACCAAATATGTCCAAAAAATCAATGTATACATATATAAAATTAAACATAGAACATAAAATATATGAAAATGACTAACTCCCACTAAACTACAAATTCCTCAAACTGTAAAACACCCATGTGAGCAACATGCTCATGAAAGACCTTGGACGGAAGTCCTTTAGTTAGAGGATCTGCTATCATGGAGTTTGTCCCTAAATGTTCTATGGAAATCTGTCCACTTTGTACTCTTTCCTTAACAACTAGAAACTTAATGTCGATGTGCTTTGACTTAGTCGAACTTCTGTTGTTGTTGGAATACAATACAGCTGATTTGTTGTCACAATATAACTTAAGTGGTCTTTCAATGTCTTTCACAATTTGCAGCCCTGTGACAAAATTTCTCAGCCATATTCCATGATTCGACGCCTCATAGCATGCTACAAATTCTGCTGCCATAGTGGATGAAGCTGTAAGGGTTTGCTTGACACTGTGCTAAGAAATCGCACCACCTGCTAACATGAAAATGTAACCTGAAGTGGATTTCAAACTATCTTGACATCATGCAAAGTCCGAGTCAAAAAACCCAGCGATCTCCAACTGGTCTGACCACCTGTATGTGAGCATGTAATCTTTTGTTCTCTTTAAATATCTCATGACCCTTTTTGCTGCTTTCCAATGGTCCATTCCTGGATTGCTTAAATATCTGCCTAGAACCCCAACTATGTATGTTATGTCTGGACGCGTACATACTTGGGCATACATTAAACTCCCTACAGCTGATGCATAGGGAATCTTTTTCATTTCCTCAATTTCCAAATTTCCCTTTGGGCACTGATTGAGACTAAACTTGTCTCCCTTAGCAACTGGAGTATCCTCGGATTTACATTCATGCATGCCAAACCTTTTAAGAATTGTTTCGATATAGCTCCTTTGTGATAATCCCAAAATACCCCGACATCGATCTCGGTGTATCTGAATTCCTAATACAAAAGACGTATCACCAAGATCTTTCATTTCGAAATTCTTTGATAAAAATTTCTTGGTTTCGTGCAATATGTCCATATCATTAGTGGCAAGTAGAATGTCATAAACATACAAGATCAGGAAAATATACTTACTCCCTTTAAACTTGTGATATACACAATCATCAACAATATTCATCTCGAAGCCAAATGAGATAATTACTTGATGAAATTTATAGTACCATTGACGAGATGCTTGTTTTAGTCCATAAATGGATTTTGTCAGTTTGCAAACCATACTCTTTGAATCTCCTTGCACAAAATTTTCTGGTTGCACCATATAAATCGTCTCATCAATGTTGCCATTAAGAAACGCCGTCTTGACATCCATTTGATGAAGCTCCAAATCATAATGTGCTACAAGAGCCATGATTGTCCTAAAAGAGTCTTTCGATGAAACTGTAGAGAAAGTCTCTTTAAAATCAATCCCTTCCTTTTGAGTATAGCCCTTAGCTACCAGACGAGTCTTATACCTTTCCACATTACCTTTAGAATCCCGTTTGGTCTTAAATATCCACTTGCAACCAATGGGTCTCATACCTTCTGGTAATGGGACAAGTTCCCAAACCTTGTTATCTTGCATGGACTTATACTCCTCCTTCATTGTTTCGATCCACTTTTCAGAGTTAGAACCTTGCATGGCTTGACAGAAGTTAACTGGGTCATCTTCCATCATACCATTGTTTTCTTCATGTTCCTGAAGAAATACCATGTAATCATCCGAAATAACATTTCTTCTTTCTCTAGTGGATCTCTGCAAAGTTATTGGTTCATGATGCACAGATTCTTGAGGATCTTGAGTTTGTTCTTCATGAACAACCAAATCATCTTGAGTAAGGGGTTCATTAACAATACCTTGTGAAGGTTCCGAACTTACTTTATCAAAAGTAACTGTTTGAATCGGTTCTGGAATTGTTACCGATTCTTCCTCCAAGACAAAGTTCCTGATTTTATTCTTCCCCCCCCCCCAAACTCAATATCCTCAAAGAACGTAGCAGTTTCCGTCTCAAAAATTGTCTTTAATGTGGGATCATAAAATTTATATCCCCTGGATCTTTCAGCATAACCAATAAAATAACTACTTATTGTTCGGGAGTCCAATTTCTTTTCATTTGACTTATAAGGCCTTGCCTCAGCTGGACAACTCCACACATGGAAATGCTTCAAACTAGGTTGTCGCCTAGTCCAAAGCTCATAAGGTGTTTTGGTCGCTGCTTTAGTTGGTACTCTGTTCAGAATATAAGTTGTCGTCTTTAGTGCCTCTCCCCAGAGTGACTCTGGTAAGGTGGAATGACAAATCATACTCCTGACCATATCTTTAAGAGTTCGATTTCGTCTTTCAGCTACACCATTCATGCTAGGTGATCCCGGCATAGTATACTGTGGGACAATTCCACACTCCTCTAGGTACTTGGCAAAAGGTCCTGGACGTTGTTCACCTGACCCGTCAAATCTGCCATAGTACTCACCACCACGATCAGATCTGACAGACTTAATTCTTTTATTTAGTTGATTTTCAACTTCAGCTTTAAATGTTTTGAACACGTCTAGAGATTGTGACTTTTCATGTATAAGGAATAAGTATGCATATCGTGAGTAATCGTCTATGAATGATATAAAGTATTGTTGACCATTCCACGAAGGTGTAGGAAATGGCCCACAAATGTCCGTATGTATCAACTCTAAGACGTCTGTAGCTCTATATGCACCTAATCTCTTCGCTTTGGTCTGTTTGCCCTTAATGCATTCAACACAAACATCAAAGTTTGTGAAGTCAATGGACTCTAAGATTCCATTTAACATAAGTCGTTCAATTCTATTTTTAGAGATGTGACCTAAGCGCCTGTGCCATAATGCTCCTGAGTGAGTATCATCAATTTTACGTTCAGTACCCCGTGATTCTGTATTAAGGGTTTCATTATAGGTGGTCACAGTATCAAGTAAATACAGATTATCATAAGGCAAAAGTGAACCAGTTCCAACAATATCTGAATTAAAAGACAAACTGAACTTATTGTTTCCAAATGAACACAAATAACCTAATTTGTCCAGATAAGAAACTGAAACCAAATTTCGTCTAAATGACGGCACAACAAAAGTGTCTTTCAAATCCAAATAAAAACCAGTACTCAATAACAATTTAAAATGCCCTATAGCTTCCACCTCTACCGATTTGCCATCTCCAACATATATTCATCTTTCAGAATCAATTGGCTTCCGATAGTTTAGGCAACCCTTTATAGAAACACTGATGTTAGTAGTTGCACCTGAGTCTAACCACCAAGTGTTACTAGGTACTGACGCTAAATTGACTTCAAAAAGCACTCAAAGTAGGAAACATACTTTTGAGGATCTGAACATAATTTAAATTGGCAGTATACGTAAACAATTGTAGCTAAATTAAAAACAAGAGAAATAAATTAATTATGCTCACATCATAAAAATAAATAATTATAAATAAAATATATATTCAAATAATGGTTTAACCCATCTCAAGACACCCAATGCACCATCAATATCAAGTCTTTGGACAGTAATATTAACTGCTAGAGGTATCTTGTTGTAATAATCAAACATTGACAATAAAGCACGTCCAACAACAAACCAGTCTTTGAATTGATTTATCATTGACAAAGCAAATCCTTATAATTATCACATGTTTATCATTACAGGTGTGCATGTAATTCTGCCAAATATTAATCTTCCTTTGGCCGACTAATACTCGCATAAATATACACAAACACTAACATTCAATATTTTTTATGAACTACCCAATTCAAAAGAGGTTACTTTGGTAACTTCTTGACTCAATTTGTTCACAAAAATATTAAACTACCAAAAAAGTAATATTTTATTTATATAACAAAACCAAATTTATATAATTATTTATTTATTAAAAAAATTATAATGGCACGAAATCCACCACTGTCATTCATAAAACAAGTATTTTCCAACTAAACCAAACCACCTAAATACAATCATTCATGCTTCGGTATCAAATAAAAGGATTTTGATAAATTAGATTTGACAACCAAATTATTCATTTATTTATGCAAATGGGTCCCTTCTAAAAAAAATTTCCACCAGGCGCAGGTTCTCACAATTGAGAAATGTCCACGTCAGCAATGTTAATGCACCAAGTGGTTCTGCGCCACCAGACATATTTGGTCGCCACACACGGCACAGCGTAGCAAATCGAGTCGAGACTTATGGGAAGGGGCCAGTCTCCAATTTCAGTTGTATACGAATCAGATGGCTCGCGACAATCCTCTCCCATGGACCCATGCTCAGCCGGCTCCACAGCGTCGTGCCACTTCTTCGCCGGAGCAGGTTCCGAAATTAAACCCACCATCCTCCGTCCCCTCACACATCTCGTGCACCAACAACTTCCCCTTCTCTGGCGAGGAGGACGCCGATAATCGGAGGATCACAGATAATGACACGCGGAACAGAGAATTAGATTTTAAGAAACCCTAGGATTCTCAATTTTGGGTTTTTTTAATTAGGGATTAAGGGTTCCTTAAATTAATCTTAATTCTTCAATATTTTCTAAGATAAACACATGTATGGACAACTCTGATACCAATTGTTAAGTAAACTGTAATTAATATGATCTTTATTCTAATGATCAAACATATATATATAATCCTATACTGAAATTATGTTATAAACTAAATGCGAAAGCGTACCTGAATTGGCCATAATGACTATATCCTTTGTAGAGCACTTTTGATTTGATCTTATGGTCTTCCACCTGAAGAGCACCTGTATTTTCCTCTTGATTTTCTCTCTTGATGGGGATAGAAAAGAAAGAACTGGAATCATAACTACGCTCGCCTACGTACTTTCGAAGGTGATCATGACCCCTTAAAATAACTAAAATTAGGTTAATTACTTAAGTTTTAGTATTTCTAATTTGACTCTCATCAAATTAAAATTACTTTATTAGTCTTTACACAATTTTATTTTCAATGACATATACTTTTAACAAAACTTTAATTTATTCATATCACTTTATTATTTGACTTAATAAATAATATACACATATATATATATATATATATATATATATATATATATATATATATATATATATATATATATATATATATATATATATATATATATATATATATATATATATATATATATATACATCACCCAAATTACATAACAAACTACGATTCTTTCATATTATTCATCTTTTAGTCAAGCTGAGTAATTCTCAAACTACGAAAATCGATTTTCTTAAAATTTAATTTTGAAAACGATTAATATAATTAATAATTTATATTACTTCAGAAATATTATTAATACTTTTCAAATTATTATTCTTCTCTTTCGTTGAATTGTTTCTCGCCTAATTACTATTACTGGTTTTCTTCAATTATAAAAAGAGAAAAACGATCTTATTAATTTTAAAATTTGTATTGAATGTTTAGAATAGTTTAAATTTTAAAAAGTAACTAAAGTTGTCTTAAAAAATCAGCAAATAGATGAACTATTAAACCAAAATTAATATAAAAATAGTTACTTTTTGAAAGTGTTCTTCTCGATAATACTACCAAATTGAATTACTTAATTCTTAAATAGATCAATATCATAATCTGAACGAATAAATAATGCAATTCAGAATCTTACAGGCCTAGTTGCCTTGTTGTTCTAGAAGAAAAAGTACATAATAAATTAAAAATCGTATATTTAATTTTATTTTTTGTGTATGATGACAAAGAAAGGATCTTTATGCCATGTGAGATTGGGTAGGAAATAGTATGAGAAGAGAAATTGAACTTGGTAGCTTCATTTGGAGTTATTGAACTTGGTGATGACGACAAGACAATCCCATGTTTCTTAATTTTCACGTAAGTCTTTGACGACAACAACTTGTGCAACTTTTCATTTTAAGTTTCTAGAGGAAAAAAACCTTTAAAATCACCTTCTATAGAAACAAAATTTCTAGAATTAATCTGTCTCCAATTTGTGAAATTATATTTTTTGTTATGATTAATTATAATTAGAAGTGATTGTGTTTTGATTAGTTTGTCAATTTCAATATAATTAATTTCGATTACATACTGAAAATTCAGTTTTTTATTATTACACTAAACATACACCTGAAAATGCAAACAATTTTTTTATATGAAAACAAAAGCTGAAACCAGCAAACACAAATATTTCTTAACTTAAAATAAATTTTATGACCCCAGTCCACGTGCTAATAATTACAATAGGAATGAGCTACCGTGTCTGAATTGGAACCCTCGTATTAAATTACCAATTTTTCTGAAATTTGACATATAATATTATTTTAAACTATAAAATATGTTTTTATTCCTATAAAATATATAAGATGTTGAAATAGTTTTTATAAAAAATATTTAGTAAGTGTAAAATTATATATATATATATATATATATTTATGTTTAAATTTTCTTAGTGTTTGGTGATGAGGGGGATAAAAATAGTTGTGTGTCTTAGAAAATTTCAATCTTATTCAATAGTTTTTATAAAAAAAATTATATTAGTTTAATTATCGTAAAACTTAAATATGATATTTCTATGAGAGTTAAAGATGATTAGGTGGAATTATTTCACAAAAAATATATTTTAAAAAAAAATTGAATAGAATGTTTGTAAATTTATTTATCTATTGTATATAAAATTCAATAATAAAAAATAAAGTTATTTGATATCATATAATTATTTTTGTTTTTTTATATTTTTATCTTATTTTTTTTTATATGTCATATCTTAATGTTTATGTCTTTTTTTCTCTTTTTTTATTTTTATCATTTTATTTTTCTAATTAAAAATACATTGGAATTTGATAAGATGAAAATTTTATTATTTATAAAAAGTAAAAATATTTAAATTATTAAAAAGGTTATAATTTAATACATTTTATTTTTAAAATTATTATATGATAATTTTTAAAAATATTATTTTTATGTTATATTTATTAATAAAATTTTAAATATTTATTTTAAAGTAATTTTTTTAATTACTAAATTTAACTAATCATCATATTCAATCTAATTAAACTAGATTAAATTAATAAATAAAAAATATATTTAATTCATAAATATTTGATACTTTTTAATTAGACGAGTAATGAATTTATTATGTTAAAATAATTTTAAATTAATTATTAGTATTATCATAAATAAAATTATTTACTATATAATAAATAAAGCTATTTATTGTGATTATAATTTTAAATAATTAATTGATATTTTTAAATTTTTAAATTTAATTAATTTAATTTAACATGTTTTTATTAAAAGAAAAAGAAAGAAAAACAAAAAACTTGAAAGGGACCAAAAAGTGAATAAGAAGAGAAATAAATTATATACAAATAATAAATAAGTTTACTTGAGTAATTTATATATATTATATGTAAATAATATAATATTTATTATATTTAAATAAATTTTATTTTTAAATATAGTATTTATAAGGAAGTTGGAACATATAGTGTCATTATTTATCTCATTGCGATTTCCTGCGTTCTCACGTTAATATAACCTTAAAAAAATAGATCGATTATTTAAAAAACCGATTCACGACCATATTAATACAAGAATAATCAATTTTTGATAGATATTATTAAAATATAATTGATTTTTCCTTTATCAAAATTTCATTCTTACCTACATTTATACATTTATTATAATAAAAGGGATTTAATTCTCTTAAAAAGAATCAATTCTGTTTGTGTAATTTGTATATAAATTTATTGTTTTTAGTAAAAATTATTTATTGTTTGATTAATTAAACTTATATTTAATTATGTGATAAATCGTTTAAATACTATGTAAGTTCGTTTTATAACAATCATTTGATATTTAAAATACAATATATCTTAACTAAAAATTTAGCACACACAATTTTGATTTATAATATAGTTTGAAACATTTAAAATAAATTGTAAGAACAATAAAAATAAATTATCGAAAAAAAATGTATAAAGAAAATAAATCACAAAATAATAGAACAGAAATTATTAAATAAAATTAACCAAAAGTGATGATCTAAATTGTATTTTTTCATAATGCAAATCTTCACATCATTTAAAAATCACTTTTATTTTATATTTATTTCATTGTATTTATATATTATTTATATGTAACCACTAAAATAAAATTATAAAATAAATTAAAAATAACAGTAAAATACAATCAAATAACATAAATAAAAATTTCACTAACGATTATTCTATTATAATTATTTTTCATTTCTTTAACTCTCGTTATTGACGTATATTATCTATTAGTGTGTATATATCATAATAAGAAAATAATAACTATTTTTATGTATTTCTAAATTGGACTACTTCTTCTCCTTATTCTATCTTTATTAATTTATATTAAAAACTTTGATACTAAACTCATCACACAATATCTTTTTATTTTTTAATATTTCTTAATCTTTTTTATTATTCGAACACTTTAATTATTCGTAATATATATTTCGATCCATTTAATCAACATATCATATTAAGTTTTTTTTTACATTTTCCTTTAATTAATATCAATCATTAGCTTTTTAATATCTCTAATTATCAATTTTATAAGAATTCTTTCCATTTGATTCATTCCTTTACATATATTTATAATTTTGCATTAACACTTATTCATTCTCATCCTCTCCTCAACAAATTTTATGCAGATTAAATGCCACCACCACTCATCTCATAAACTCGCTGTAGCACCATAATGGTTCAATGTTTTCATAGGTGAACTTGGCAGGAGATGACTGTTAAAATAATAAATTTGCAAGACATGTTTTTGTACTTTAAAATTTTATAACCATATTTTATCAAGTCAATTTATTGTCTTGTTCCATTTCTTTCTACTTAAACCAAGAAATTTTCGATGCATCCACGCGCCGCCAGACCAAAATTAGTCAAAGCAGAGACGGCCGGGAACTTTTGCCAAAAAGTTCTTATCCATTTAATTTTTCTTAATCAAATTAATTTTGTATTGTTACTTAAAATCATTGAAATTTTAATTAATTATGATTAAAGTGAACTGTTGCAAAATCCTAATGTTTTTTTAATAAATTATATATTCTGCAATATGAGATTCTAATTAGAATCGATATTATGTTATTATATCCATTAATAACTTATTTATGATTATGCCCAATTTTTCACTAATAGACATAATTTTATGAGAAATTTTCATAATCACACCATTAAGAAAAAAATCTTGCCTTATTATTTATCTAGATCATTTACTTGCACACTACAATTTTATACAGTAATTGACTTTAAGACGAAGTAATGTTTTTTATTAAAAATTATATTTAAATAATAATAATAATAATAATTACTTTTCATATATTAATTAA